GGGGGGGGGGTTGTGGTAGGATTTCAACACTTTGGGTGCGAAGAGAGGATTTTGCAAGGAAGAAATCTGTGTATGTATGTGTATACAGGGCGAAGTTCTTCCGACCAACAATATAACCTTTTCTCGACAGGCCGTTTTCAGATCGGTCGAGGAATTGGTTGATGGGAGGGCGAAACTGCGGTATGGTGGTATGGGCCGGCGGCGAACGCGAAAGATGCGACAGAGAGGATCTTGGAGGAGGGAATGGCGATGGGCGGAGAGAAGAGAGAGAGATTCGAGCAGCGATATCAGGGCGCTGGGAGCAAGTGGTGAAGTTGTTGTTTGCGACGCACGCGGTTGGAGTGAGAGACGGCGGCGGAGGGCGAAGAGGAGAAGCGAGTGAGCTGGAACAAGACTGACAAAACCTTCCAGAAGGGTTCAGGGATTTTTCGGGGCTAACATTGGACGGGGCGGGGAGTATGGTATGTATTATGTATGGGTATGATATGGTATGGTATGGTATGGGTATGGTTAGTATGGTATAGTAGAGTAACTAGGGTTATCAGATGCTGAGTGAGCTGTTACTTACAATATCAAGTAATGTCATACCATATCATACCATACCATACCATACGCAGCCACCGAGGCCCCTAGGTACGAATTTCCCGGCTCGAAATCCTGTGGGACAAAGGAGCGTTTAGGTAACTAGCGCAATTGGCCGGTCGATTAGCCACTTTGCCGAGATTGAAGATGACGCTACGCAATCCGCCAAGAGACGAAACTTGTCGTAATTGGCTCTGTTCCGTAATACCTGGGAATTTATTTGCTTTCTTTCTTTCTTTCTTTCTACTTTCTACTTTCATTGGAAGGAAGGTTTCTCTTCTGTTTGTTCTTGTCTTGGCGAACCTCGAAACTTGGGGGGGGCGAGAGATAGATCCATTATATCGCATCCTCATGAGAAAAGGGAGACATCGATGATATCAGATATCAGATATCAGATATCAGATATACATACACATCTCTTACTCCCTTTTGATATCAATTGTGATCAATGTTGTGTTTCTATCCAGCCTTTTTATTTTTATTTCTGTTTATTCGAAGTGGGCTGGTATGTAATATATACCCTCCCAGCCAGGATCAAAATTACTTAAAACTATTCTAGAAGCCCTTCCGTCGTGGCCACAACACCTGAATTTGAGCATTCCGCAGCAGGTACAGTACAAAGACGATGCGCCGAGTGCATCCGCGAAGCTTGCTGTGTGTGTGTGTTGTCGCCCGAAAACACTTCGACTTACCCACTATACCATACCACCTACTACTCTTGGCCGATTTCAAACCCGGCTGTCGGTTTCTGCCCTCTGACGAGCTCCGAACGGGTTAAGTCATAGACCTCATCTTCCGCGTCCGTAATCCGTACTGTGTACGGAGTACTCCGTACAGATTAGGCAAATAAGAAATCGCTCACCCACCCTATGATCCTCGGGAATTTTATCCCCTCGTCATCACTTACGGGATGCTCTAAGTTACCTTATCTCCTGGGTGGCATTTTGTTATTGGAAGAGCTGTATGAGAGTGGATATGATATCTAGCCTTGGAAGAAGTGCGCACAAGGCTGGACCGCTTACGGATACTCTGGACTCAACGATGGATGCACGCTGCGTAGGGGCCGTGGACAGGACATTCAAACGGTTGATCAGCACGCAGATGGCTAGCGAAAAGTTTGAATTGGGTATTCGGAGAATGAGCCCTGTACATACACAATATGCCACCACTGTTTGTTTTAAGGCCGTTGTTTGATGGAAGCAATGGAATGGGATTCCGAATTCTCATTTTGACCCGTTCCCCCTTGAAGCCGAGCTACTCCTGGATTGGTCCAGACAAGTCCTAGACTCCTGGGTGGCACACGACAAGAAATAAGAAAATAAGGGAAAAAAGAAGAAAAAAACAGAAAAGAAGAAAATAGAAAAAAGGACAACTAACTCAAAAGGAACCAATAAACTGGGCTGCTCTGCGCTCAGGTCCGTTGACTTGTTTCAAGATAACACAGTTAATGGAGTTCACAACACAAAGCCGAACTGCATCAAGAAAGGCATCTATTAGATAGCCCTCTGCTTGAAAAGGTCTCGAGCATAAAAAAGAAAGAAATACTAATGAGCCCTCTTTTTGGGGCCTAGGTAAAAAAATCCCCCCCGCTCTCGTATTCTTTGTTAGCTTCCATTCACTATTAATTATTGCCGCCCAAGGGGAGGGAAAAAAAAAGAGAAGCTGGCCATGTCGTGTCTGGACCAACTTTTTTTTTTTTTTCTTTTTTTTCAATTTATTTATTAAAAAAAAAAAAAAAAATAGTTAGTAGGCTGCGGCTATAAATTATTTTCGCTTGGTTCAGATGGAAATCATGGAAGCCCTGTTTTTGCCCTCTTATCTACTACTCTACTAGTTACAGTATACTCCGTACAATAAACATGAACATGACTGGCCCCAAAAGATTCAACGGCGTCGCCGGGCGGCATGACCGATAATAACACTCCAGCCATGGACTCATCGGCGCATCGGACATGTTCTGTTTGTTTGTGCTTACATAGAATGTGCGGACTAGCTTCAGGGTACATACAGACTTTTGACTCCGTACAAAGTTACAAAAGTTACAAGCTTAACCTTCGGAGGCCATGCAGAGAGAGCCGGCCGATTTGAGATGAAACTTCACTCGCTCTCCTTGCTGGCTTCGTATTTAGCACACTTCCCTTTTCCCCACCCCCCCCCCCCCCTGGCATTTGCGCCTGTTTAGTACAAGCCTGGATGGATCCATATATGTACCCTGTATGGGATGGGATGTAGCCCCCCCTCCGGGGGCCAGGATGGAATGACTGATGAATAAATGAAGAGTCTGAATTGACTGACTGGACTTCCGCCAGCCATACAATTTTCTCCCGCTCCCGCTTCCAAAAAGGTTCTAAAAAGATTCCTCCCTCGGCTGGAATCCAGAAACTGCGCTTGCACTAACGAAAATTCCTCTGCCCCAAAAAAAAAAAGAAATCCCTAGTTCCGCCCGCCGGGGCTACTACTCTACTACTGCGTACAAAGGAACAGCAAGAATAATAAAATAATAAAATAAAATAAAATAAAATAAAATAAAACAAAATCATAGGTAACACTAAATCAGTGGCGTCCGCTAACTAACTAAAATAATAAATTCTTATTCTTGGGAAGAGACTTTAGGAGAGACTTTAGGAGAGGGGGAACAAACTCTCTCTCTCTCCCCTTTTACTCCGAGTCGGCTCCGGGCTAACTGGACTGATCAAAAGGGAGGATAACTAGCTTCAACTGTAATTTGCGCCAGCCGGCAGTTGAAGAACTTGTCAGTTCCCTCTTTTTCCCCGCGCTGTTGCCCCGGCCGGGCCGTTTTGAAGAAAAAGGCAGATCAAGCTCGCTCCTTGTTACCTTTGACAGCTTCCTGTGGAGTTATGGATCATTAATAATGATTGCTTTTCCTATCCGCGCACTATGTATGGGTCTACGCTGTACGCTGCTTGTATGTTGACGGACGGGCTGTGGGTATGTTTTATATTTTTATCCATTTAAGTAAGCAAGATAGGGAATTTTCAATAATGAAAGGGCTCTTTTATCGCCACGACAAATAGAACCAAGCGAACTAAGCTTCTACGATGCATTATTTACCCACTCATGCCCCGATATCCCATCCCACAGGCCTCAAAAAAAGATCAATATTAAAAATAAATAAACGACGCCTTCTTCACAAGTCACCACCAGCCTCGTGTGCGCACAACTAGCAAAAAAGAGGCGGAAAGGAAACGAAAACAAGCACAACCAAAGCGTCGTTGATAGCAGCAGCAGCAAACCGCCGTGGGGCCGGATCATTCAAGCGTTGGCCCCAACCAGAAGCGGCTAAGTGTGAGAGCACTTCACTTTTACTGCGTATATCGCTAAGACTTTGGGGGGATTTCCGGGGCTAGTCGGGTAGATAGATAGATGAAGATGAATGGGCTGGTGGTAGCTTGCAGCTTGCAGCTTGCAACTTGCAACTTGGCAGTCCGCCGAATCGCTGAAATAATAATAATAATAATAATAATAATGAGATACATAACTTAAGTTACTCCGTAAGTACGCCGAGTGGGGTGGAACAACCCATGCCGTGCCCTGTCTTCCCTGGCCGCTATTCTTGTCAGTGGATCCTTGATGCAGAGGATGGGGCGGGGAGACGGTCTTCCAGAAGTATTCTTGACTAGTAAGTATCCTTCGTTTGCTGGTCGTTTTTGGGGACAGGTAATAACTCGTGTGTAATGTATACATGCATACGGTACGATACTGTATCTTATCATGTTGCCTATACATAACCAAACAGTGCCTACTACTGCGTAGCTTACATGCTACGGCGGTGATACACAGGTGCAGTTGCATATGTATAGAGAATTGAGTTTATTTATTTATTATTAATATTAATCAAGCTCAATAGTTGAGCTGATGGTTGACATTTCCTTTGTTGTGAGATATAAAATAGGCTTTGATTTCCTAACCAGCCAGCTGCTGCCAAGGTTGTTATTATTATTTCTATTTATTATTGAGATGTCCGTCCCGTCCTCCTCTAAACAGGGACATCAAACAATAATACAACGCAATAGCCAAGGCAAAACCAAAGAGCTATCTATCTATCTATTTATCCAACCACCCGAAGGCATCCATGGATACCAAACGATATCCCAAGAAGATTTCGTGACCAACGATCAAGGCACAGCGGAATGGAAAAGAAGAAGAAGAAGAAGAAGAAGAAGAAGAAGAAGAAGAAGAAGAAGAAGAAGAAGAAGAAGAAGAAATGCATCGAACAATCTTTGAAACTTCTTCCAGCCGCGCCGCCAGGCGGGCAGGGATAACCTGTAACTAACAGAGCACGAAAGACGCTGACCCTGTCTGCGTCTGACACGAGTGAGTCTCCTCGCCCTCACTATTAGCCGCTACCAATCGAGCCGATTGTGGACTGACTGCACCCAACTGATCAATCGTTGGGATTGATCTTGGTTGCTTGGCCCTGGGGTATGGTAGTTATGGATAGCATCGTTATCGTTATGGAGAGAGGAGAGGGCGGGAGAATTATTACAGTGTAGAGACTTGGGAGAGTCGGCGAATTTCTGGCTAGTTAGTTTCTCTTTTATTTTTTAATTAATTAATTAATTATTCTTCTTTCCTGGCGATTCTGAGCTGCACTTGCTGCTGACTGGGACTAGGACTTGGACTGGGATGATGTGTTGGCGTCGAGGATGGATGAGGTTCTTGGGGCTGATCATTTTTTACTTTTTATTTAGTTACTTTTTTTTTTTTTTTTTTTTTTTTTTTTTTTTTTTTTTTTTTTTTTTTGCCCGCCAGGTAAAATCGAACAAACAAAACATGACTTATCATAGTATATCTACGATGTAGTGTGTGCGTATGTATGTACATACATGTACATGTACACTGAGGCGGCTGGGATGAAGGATGTCGGGGAATGTCTCAATTATGTGCTGAATTTCAACTATTTAGTCTGCCTAGCCATGAATTAACTTCTCTTTTCCCATCTCCTCTCCTTCTCCTAGAATTTCTTTTGTCTGAACCGTTTTTCCGCAGGTGGACAGGAGTTTTTTCCACCTCTTTTTTTGCCTTCATTGTTGTTGACCTTTCGGTTTGGCTGGCTGACTATATCTAGATAGAACCTCTTGCTCTCGCCTACAGGACCAGACCTCTCTCTCTTTCTTCTCCCTTGGCTACTTCAAAAGGGCCGCATCAATAATGAATAAAAAAAAAATCAAGTTTATTGCCCCACAGCCTACTCTGTACAGGCCCGCTGAGATTCGCAAATGATTCCCAGCGCAACTTCTATACCTACCCCTACCAAGCATAGCCCACACTGCAAACAAAGAGCCCTCCCCTCCCTGCCTTGTTGCTCCAGATGACCCCCATGGACGCCCTGCAAGACTTGCCAATAATGACCCAAAAGCTGGGGTAAACTGCTTTTGATTCGCGGTTACTGCATAAGTCCCAAGGCCATAGTTGTTATGTCTATCTTAAACCGCCCCCCTCCGGCCTCAATCCCCAAGGCCATGGTACTGTATCTGCATATATATATATATATATATATATATAGTGTGCAGCGAGCATTCGATTGATATACCTTGCCTATTGCACATATGTACGGTACATGTACGGTACATGTACTATACATCCATGCTACATCCATGCAACTTTACACTTCCCTACTTTATAAAAGGCCAGTTTCAATCAGGAATATAAATAAAGAATTTTATGTGTTTGTTTCTTTTTTTTCTTTTCTTTTTCTTTTCTTTTTTTTTTTTTCCTATGACTTGGGTAAGAAACTGGGAAAAGGATTTCATTTTGTGGCTATACTATTTATCTCCCCTTTTCTTTTTCGTTAGTTAACAGGCACATATAGACATGGATGGTTCATTTATTTACTCTACCTACCCTTACCCCACTAAAAAGGCTTCTAAAAAAAGTTTATATCGTGTTTCAAAATGAGTTCCATGAAATACTAGCCTAAGGGGCCCCTGAAACCCGATGTGAATTCTGTTGATATAGTTATATATATATATTTCCTCCCTAACAAAATACGGAAATGTGAGTGTTGCGCCGCCATCAAAATGTGCGTTTCCTTGATGGTTTCCTCTCTCTTTTATTCCCCCTATCCTATCTTATTTGTATTTCTGTTTATTATGCTTAAAAGATACATACATGTACAGTACATACATATGACTTGGAGGAAGACGGACCAGGGCTTGGCGTGCCCAACCCTCCTCTTCTCTTGATCCAACCTCGACGAGTTTCCATGCACGCAACGTACTATACATGACATGTAACTTCCCCCATAGGATAGGGGCTAAGAAGTACACTAGAAGTGCCAGAGTTCGAAGATCCGCGTCTTCTTGATTCCTTTTCTTTTGGTGTGTACTTACTACCTTTGTCAGGGTTTTAATTCTATTCTACATAGGACGCATGTAGAAAGCAAATCGATGATAGGAGTTCAATCAAGGAAAAATGGGGGAGGGGGGAGTCCTTTTACACCTGTTGAAAAAACATATCCTAGCAACGTTTATAACAAAATAAATTGGGCCTGGTATATCAGGATCTAATGAATGTGTGTCTATGGAAATGCTTCTAGATCTTCCAAGTTAAAAACATATTATACTTATGCCATGTAATATTGATACTATACCAAGGGGTAACTAGTAGGTAGTAAATAAGTGTAGATTGATTGATACTATTGCCCCGGGGCGAGGAATGTTGGGTGCCGCTGAAAAAAACCATTGCAATGCAATTCGTACAAAATGCCAATGAATGGTAGGTCGCAAATCTGAGTCCAATGCCTGTGTTTGATGTCGTAGAGAAAATAACCAACAACAAGGCCCAACCGCCGCTGTACCACTTCACTCCTCAAGCTCAAGTTGCAATTGACTCTCTGTTACGTAGAAGATAGAAACCGGTTAGAGAGAGAAGTTTCTTTTTGGTTTTTATGTGTGGCCCATGGCTTGCGCGCGGGATTTCGAGAGAAGAAGAGAAGAAACCCTTGGACAACGTACCCCATATTTTATTGGCGGATCCAACGATGATTTCCGCCTTCGTGAGAAGCTTCGCGGAAATACGTTGCGATCCTTGGAGGTCTATATTTCGTGGCTGGGCCTATCAAATAGCGATGGTTAGTCTGACATTCAGTGACCGGAAAGATAAGAGAATCGTGGAAGATAAGCTATGAATCCGCTACCCAGTGGAGAGCAGAGGTTTGTTTGGCCAACCGGGGGGGGGGGGGGGCGGGGAAGAACAGAAACATCGAGCTCACCATCATCAAAACAGGCAGCAAATCCTTCGGGTCAGCCTCCGCAAGGGCTCTGAGCGTCTTAAACCCATTCTCCCACAATAATCTTGCGGTTCGACTCTTCACGTACGCCACCTGGGCCATTTCCAACAGGTCTGCTCGCGCTCCGGCCTGCAGACGGTCGCGCATGTGATCTAGCACGACTGCCAGCATGTCCCAGCCCATGCGTTGGCAGAATTTGACAATACCAGCGGCAAATCCATGGCAGATTTGGGTCAGGGTTTGGACATTGCCTCGCGGGATGTTGTATTTCCGTGCGATGGTTGATATGGGGACTTCATTGCTGAGATCACGCAACTGGAACGCTGTATATGCGCGATGATAGATGCGTGCGAGTGTCTCGTCCTTTATACGAGTCCGGGATTGTGCCCTGTCATTTGGAAAAATATATTAGGGGAACTGACTTCTCGAACTTTTGAGGGTTTTCGTTAAAAAAAAAAAAAAAAAAAAAAAAAAAAAAAAAAAAACTATGGTTATGACCAACGGTGTCACCAGGAGGGATTGATATGTGTTTTCTAGCACGACTTACATTTTGTTCACGAATGCAGGTTCCACCCCTACGAGCTGCAAGGCACGAATCCCGCTCTCATCAAGGTTGTTCATCTGGTCCCGAAAAATAGACCAGTCGATATCAGCCGGGGCTGAATTTTGAAGAGGGGCGAACATATAGAAAATGTGCATCTCCCCGTCCATGACGAAGGATTTCAAAGCCCGCTTCAGTTCATCATGGATGAAGATACCATCTTCGGGGCTGAGCGAGGAGGACACCACAGCCTGCCCCAGTTGCGTTGGCTCGAAATATTCGTCTTGCTTGAGATCGACAAGGCCGTGGTCGACTAGCTCTTTGAGAGTACTGTCCACCATGGAGAATAGCTCATCCGTTTCCATATTCTGGTAGAGCAAAGTACACGTTACATATTCGTTAACGGTCTCCCGACTAGAAACAAGTCGAGTTGCGATGGCTTCAAGAAGCGCCCTGATAGCAACTCAGATATTAGCTGTAGTTAAGACAGGACAGAACTAACATGGGTTTAGTTAGTTATACCTTTTAATGCCCCGTTTTTCAGGGGTTAGCCCACTTGCGATGGCAGGCATTTCTGCCTCCAATAATTCTGCCACTGCCTCCAAGTCATCTTTTTGGCACAAAAGGTAGGTTTCCCCAACCTCATCTTTGCCCTTCCGGCCAGCTCGTCCCCGCATCTGCCGTCTGATCAACTTAGCCATGGGCCCTAAAAGTGAGAGTGTACACGATGATGCGGGGTACATACAGCATTGCTGGCCCAACCAAATCGCGGCCCATTCGAGCTCCGCAAAGAATAACTCGCCGTGCAGGGAGGTTTATACCAGCTGCTAGGCTACATGTAGCAACTAGTACCCGAAGGATACCCTTATCGTATGCCTCCGCAATCAAATCGCGTTCTTCTGTCGTTAAGCCAGCATCTACGATTGCCCAAAAACAAGTTAATAATAATTGTAAGAAGGGTGAGGTTTTCATCAAAAGGATATACTCAGCACTAACGGTGAAAAGCCACTCCTTTTATGACTGTCTTTTGGAATACAGGGTCAATTCCACACGGGAGGCTCTGCAACCCGGCGATGAGATCCATCCGACGCTCCGAAAGATCTTTGTCCAACATTGTTTCGTCTGGCATCGCCTGGCTAATGAGTATCGCATTACTCTGACAGGCTTGTCGACTGCCACAAAACACGAGAGCGCCATATCCGGATAGAGCAGTTTCCAAGGCCAACGACACCATTGCATTGGCAGTTGAGGTCGCCAACTCCTTATACGTCGATCGGTCGATTATTCTGCACGCAAGTGAGTTTCGTTGCGACGGGTCAGGCTTGTTTAACTGCGTGGCTGTTCTAAAAAACTCTTTAGAACTGGTGGCTGGGTAGATCTCATTGTTGTAAACAAGATGCTCCCGAATAGGTATCGGTCGATATTTGGAAATATAGTAATTCGCCCGCAACCATTTCGCGAGGACCTCCGTATTCTGGTAGAATTATGAGTCCGTGAGTAAGACGAAATAAGTTAAACCTTCGCTTCTTCAGCTTCTTCATTTTGAGATTATGGAGCACCAACCGATAATGTGGCGCTCATACCAACGATTTGGATGTCTTGCTTCAATAGCATTAATTTTGTTACCATGATCTCTATCAGATAACCACGATGCTCATCATCAAGCATATGAAGCTCATCCAAAACAACAACACCCAGATCGTTAATCTTGCACTCCTCAATGGCAGTGTTTACCAATGAATTGGCCTAAAAAGGAATTGGAAGGATCAGCCAGATATTCGCCGCCGCTGGTCGAAAGGAGGAAAAAGCCTGTCAAACCTTTTCAATCGTACAAACAGCTATATCTGTATCGGCCCATGTAGCTCTAGTTTTGCTCCCACCAAAAAACCCCGTGACCCGAATCGAGCTTTGCGGCTGTCGCCAGTGTGGTACCGACGAGGCCTCATCTACTGTGGTCGGCGTGTCAATGTTTTTAGTCACACCTTCCACCACACGGCGAAGCCATTTGAGCTTCTCTTGCACGAGGGCAACATAGGGAAGAACAAGGATAGCCTTTTTGGATGGATCATCAATGACACGTTTTAGCATCAACACATCTGCAACCAGGGACTTTCCACCGCCAGTCGGGGCACTGTACACGAGGTTCTTTTCCGCAGTGAGGTGACCTCTGCCAAGAAGACAGGACGCCTGCCATGGATAGATGCAGTTCACACCTAGAGAGGCAAAATTGGTAACCAACTGGGGCGGTAACCCATACGTTTGATGGGATAGGGATAGCAGTGGATTTTGCGACGGTCCCGGAGTAGACGAAACCGCTCGCCGTTGCGAGTATTCTGATATGGTATCATTGGATATCCCTACTGCATCCGGCACATCACGTATCCTGCTCGCAATGATACGTGTGGTGTTTGCCGTGGAAGATAAACTGGGACGAATAAATCCGTCTGGCTTAATAACGGTGTTATTCCCAAATGTTCGAATGGGCTGCTGATTTATAGTTGGTATCTGGGGTGACAAGAAGTCCCCAGGATGCGACCTCTTTGTTCCTGCTATGGAAGCTGTGGGAAAGGATTGGTTTCGCACTATATCAATAGACGTTTGAGGCTTGTCGGAGTGGGCATGGATGGTGGTTGGCAGAGAATTCATTTCGCATTGGGTTGCCCAACATTAAAACAAAAACAACATAAGGGAAACAACAGAAGATTTTCTCATTCGATCCAACGTGTGTAGTCTGTCATTATATCATCTTATTCATATCCCACACTCTGGATTATCTACTATATCGCGCCTGTCATTGTTTGGAGATTAGCTGAAATAGGCAGAAGATTGTTCCGCGCTAAGAGCGCGGAAGCGTATGATCACCGCGCAACATAGTTTTCCCGGTGTCCGTTTAAACCTCACTTTCTCCCTCATTCATCCACCAGTAACTACAGAGGACATTCGAGTTTTACCAAAACCACTAGCAGTTATTATTATTAGTATTCTTCTTCCTTTTATTCTCCTATTTCAGTGTGAACCTATACAGAAGATCTCTCTCAGCATCTTACCCTGAGAGTGTGATTCAAAGGTTGCTTAAGCCAGCGTACGATTACAGGCGTACGCCGGCTTCTTATATATTGAATCTCGTACGCTAAATTAATTAGTGGCTGCTAGGGCCCCCTTTACATTCATACGCGTACGCTAGTAGTTCGGAAGCGTACGCGTACGCTAGTAGTTCGGAAGCAGCCGCGTTATTATCCAACGGTCATACGTTCTTCTGAACCACATCCTCCCCCACCAGATTTGGTCACGCCCATGTGATCATGTCGTACACCCTAGCTTCATGCGGATTAGCTCGCCACTAGTGTTTCGCGATCATGTGGCCTATCCCTGATTCGGCTAGTGTCCCGCGTACACCCTCACAAAGAAACTTCCACTATATTACATCACTCATTCACTAACTTTTTCCATTCTTCAACCATCTTCTCCATCATCATCATCATTGAACATCACTATCTCATTCAAGATTTCTACTTCTTCTTCTGTTCAACTCTTTCCATCTGTTCATCTATCACATTGTATGTGTTTCTGACAATGACTCTCTGTTCTCATAACAAGCATCATCATAGTGCTCATATCAGGTAGTTTGTTAGCAGTAAGTGTAATGTGTTGTGAAATGTGATCAGAACTTGTTTATCTTCTAACAATTGTCAGAACAATGTATTATCATGAATGATGACACATCTTCTTCATCTTCTTATATACTCTCAACTATTTCTTCTTCTCAGCAGGTTTCTGATTGTGTTTTCTGACATAATTTTGTGTGAACACAGATACTGATATTTGTTTTTATTTATGTAGAATCTTCATATATTGACAGATCTGCATCTGCTGATGATAGTGAACTCAGTGTTGAATCATTGATTGAGAACTTGAAGAATATGATAATGAAGAAATTGTTCATATCATATATAGCTGAGTCTTCAGTGTTTCTCTCTGTCTCTTCTACTGCTTCTTTCTCTGCTACTCTCTTCTCTATTTCTTTCTCTATCACTCTTCAATCTTCTATACTTGTCTCTGTGTCTGGTTCTCCCGCTCCTGCTATTTCTGTTCCCGCGACCCCTACTTCTGCTACTTCTGGTTTTACTGCCTCTGTCTTTGTTACTAGCTCTCCCTGTTTCAAGGAGATGTTGTGTAGACTTAATGAATTATGTCTCTCAGTGTGTATGCTTCTGCCCTTCTTACTGACTTCTAGAATGATTTATTGTACAAAGATAGTATATGACATGACTATCTGAAGCTCAGTCACAGACACTGATTATTATATTCATTTTAAATATTTATGATGAGATAATTATTCATTTGTATCAGAGAATTATCTCTCTCTTTAACAGTGTCTAGATTGTAAGTCTTTTCATTTTTCATCTTTTTCTTCTGATGCTGATTTTCCTGTTCTTAGAAAAAATTGTTATGAGTTTTACTGTGTATGAAGTTGTGATATTCACAGACATTAAGAAGCTTTTTATAACTGTAAAGTTCAATATTGTGAAGATATTCACTCTGATGAATTCTTTCAGAATAATAGATCTGTATCAGTCTATTCTCTAGTGTCTGTCATCTGACTTCATGATGCAGGCAAAAGATATTCATGTTTTTGAAAATGAGAATGTGAATGTCATTCTCTTTTACACCTATAAGTGTGAGACTTGTATGCCTTGTCTGAGATATCATTGTGAGAATGAGTTATTCATATACTGTGTTCTACTTTCTGTATTTCCTCATGTTCTTCTCTCTCTTTCTGAGAAGTCTTATGTGTGTTGTAATTGCATGTACAATTCTAAGGTCAGTGAGTGTTCATTTAGTAACTGTTCTTATCTCTGATTCTGTGATTTTGTATACTAACAATAGTTCTTAGTTACTTCAGTGCTAGAGATCATTTTAATTGAAGATGATAACACTGCTAAGACTACTCTCTTCTGTTCTTAAGCTTCTCTCATCACTTTCTCTCTCTTCTCTGTGAGAAAGGTTGTGTGTACACTGAGTCATAAGTGTTCAGCCCTGAGTGACTCTCACTGTCATTTGTCTGATTCTGTGCCTTCTTCTTCTGTTTCTTCTGCCTCTGTCTCTTCTGCCCTGGCTTCTGATTCTGTGAATTTCATACTCTTCTTCAATTTCTCTACATATACACATACACATTTCTATATTGGCATTTCAGCCAATCTTGTGATAAATGACATTAATATCATACACAGAGTGGTAGAGGAATTGAAGATGTGTATGATATTGTTATGAGAGTAGCTTGCAGCTCTCAAATCTCTTGCAGATCTTGAGTTTTGAGATTTCCTTTGTTTTTGATGTTTTTCAGATGGCATGGTGTTGGAAATAGATTAAACATGTGACATATGAAAATGAATGAGATGTGTATGATAATATTTGTCTTTTTGCAGCTGACTCTTACAGTTGATGATCAATTCATTATCTCTTTTCTTTTTCTTATACTTTTTCTTTATCTGCTAGTCACTACTCTTACACGACCTCTATATGATACAGTGTTTGATGACTAGGTTCAGTAGCTTTCATCTTTGTAATTCTGTCTTGTGCATTATACTATCTCTCTTCACCTGCTCAGATTACTACAGTAAACAGCTCATTAAAACTAATCTTACCTGACCTCTGAGTGTTCTCAGAGGTTGAGATGACTTGGTCTCACATGTCTGTGAATATTTCAGATAGTTTATCCTCTGTGATCTCTGTGATTGAACTGATGTAAACAGTTAAATTCAACTCTGAATTTCTTTTTCTTCTGTGATCTGATTCATGTGCAAGTCTGTCACTTTGAGACTGCTCTTTACTGTGTTGTATTCACTGTCTGCAGTGTGTTATCATACAACTGACTACAGTCTCATCACTTATTGAAGTGTGATATTTACCTGATTTCTTCATTTCTTCTCATTCTTTCCTTGTAATCATGAAAAGATTGAAATAAGTAAGATCATCTGATTTGTAAGTATCTATGATTTCTCTTACTTCATGAGACTTTTTAATTATAAGCCTCTTCTTTTTCAACACTGATGATAGTGCTGTGAATGATTATAATCTGCTCAGGTCTTGCATCTTTGCTTTCACAAGTTATGAATTATTGATTAAGTTGTATAAGATCTGTCTCTCTGATTCTTTCAATGTGTACATTCTCAGAGAATGTGATTTGAGTATCTTATATGACTCAAACCATCTAGATTGAAACTTCTCAGAACTCTTATTGCATATGAGAACTTATGTTCTCACCTTGAGACTCAATTTCTTAACAAGTGAGTCTTGTATTCTTTTCAATTGAATTGCTCAGTTCAGAAGTAACTTGTTAGCTTTTGTATGTGCATAGCTGATCTCTTTCAATCTTGGTTCTGTGTCTGTGACTGTTGTGTCTGTAACTGCTGTTCTCTCTCTCATCTTTTCTGAAGCATTCTCTGAGATGCGCGGATGCAATTCATACAACAGGTAGAATGATGAACACTTGAAGACTGCATGCTGCTGAATTTGTGTAGCTAATAGCATCTGTCTGAGATATTCATCTCATAGTCTCATAGACTTACTCACTAGATATTTCATCAGCATGTTACTCAAGATTTCATTCAAGTATTTCATCTTTCTGTTTATCTGTGAATGATATGACATTGTTCTATAATGTCTTGTCTGTAACTGGCTCATGAAATGTCTCACTGCTTCTCTCATGAGATTTGCACTGTTATCAGTTAGGATCTCGCGCGGCATTTCATAGTTGATATAGATCTTATCATGTAGAAACTTCATCATCACCTTCTCTGTTGTCTCTGAAACTGCTTTTGCAACTGGTCAGTCAGTAGCATAATCAATAGCAGTGATTATTCATCAGTTTTCATTTGATGTTCGCGGCAATATGTCTATGAGGTTCACTTCTCATTGTTTGAATAATTGTATTGTACACTTCATCTGATATTGTACTTTCTTATGTTCTAACCCTTTCATAGATTCTTTTGTGACCTGGCAATTTGAGCACTTGTGAGTGTATGCCTGAATGTCCTTGATCATGCTTAGTTAGTATGCTCTTGATTTGAGTACACTCATGAGTTCAGAGCTTTCTAAGTGACTGAATTCCTTGTGCATGCGAGTCATCAAGTTGTGTCTAAATGAAGATTCTAGATAGAGAGCTTCTATGTATTCTAGATTGTGGTAAAGCACAATATCATTTTCATTTCTCAATTTCCTCAGCTTGAAGTTTGAAAGCATCTCTTCTACTACTTTCATGAGACACTTGTTATTTGACATCTTGTCATTCTTCAAGTGAGAGATCATAGTGTTCACTCATTCTGATTTCTTGCATTCTCTCAGTGTGTTTAACATGAATGTCTCTTGTGCCTGATTCACAGAACTCTCACTCATGAAATCAAGTCTGTGACTGATTGCATTCAGCATCACTGTGTCTGATTCTTTTCAGTATTTGATATGAAGATTGTATGCTTGAAACTCTGAGATTCAACATACTAAGTATTTGAAAGATTTTATTGTTGATTATAGATAGACAAGGCTTTTATAATCTGTGATCACTGTTGTTGTATGCCTGTTGTTGATATATCTATCTCACAATGCCAGTGTGTGCTTGATTGCTAGCAATTTCTTTTCATACACTGAGTAATTAAGCTCAGCATCTGATAGTTTCCTATCATTGTATGTCACTGAGTGCAGCTTGCTGTTCTTGCTCATCTGTAGAAGAGCATCTTCAATAGCCTATTCAGATGCATCTGTCTTGATGTAGAAAGGTTTATTATGATCTGATTGAATAAG